ATGGAATCAGTAACATTTGTATAGGACAGGTATAGGTACCCGTGTTAATGCAGGTATGGATCAGACTAATTGACCGATTGCACAATCTTACAGTAATTTTTTGGAGGCTCAGAGTTGAAATGCAGTGTTGGAACCACTGTTTATGCTGATTGCCTGCCAGTTTTAGCAGATGCACAACTAAATGATCATGCAAATTGTTTTTAATTACAAAAGTAGAGGAGTTCAATGTAGTCCAAAGTTTGGGTTAGTCTATTTTTGAGAGTAAATTCCAAGCTGCTTTACTTACATATCTGTTCATATGTTTTCTAAAACCAAAGCTCCACATTCTCAGTAAATCCTTTGAGGGTTTTGCTACAAAAGTGTTCCTAAGACTGAACCACTGGGCCAGGTAAAGTCGGTGGAAGTTTCCCAATTATTTTCATTGGGTCATGACATCACTCTCATTGTTTGAAAGTTCATCTTCGTACAGTTTAAGTTAATCGTAATATACTGTACATCTGGTGGCATCTTCTGAACAAACGCAATTGTTTATACACTCATCTAATGAACCAGTAGAAATAAATAAAATAGATGTATCTAAATCAGTTTATCATTTAAATATTTTCTTTATGCACATTAACCTTCATACATTTTAATACAGCTAAACCTTAAACTAGAATCAAAATAAAGCAAAACCACTGTTATTCTTCCTTGTTTGCAATATATCTATTTCTTGCAGACTATAACCTATAGCATTAGGCTGTGACAGCTTGCCAGAACTTCTTCAAGGACCTATTGATGGATTTTTTTTAGAGAGACTTCATTAAGAGCAGGAGCAAGAGTTGATTGGGTAAGCACTACAGATGCAAGCTGCACCAGTTCTTGCTCCAGTCTTCCCAATAAGATTTTTGAAACTCTCTATATCCCAACGTCTTTATTGGTAATAGATCCCTCCCTTAATTTGCACTGATGCATTTGGAGTGTCAGCTCCCAAACAAGGCACATGGGAGGCATTTAAAGTAGATTTTTTGAAAGGAAAATGAACAAAGAGTATGTCAGGTTCCATTTGGATTTGCATGACAAATCCAGCATGCAGTGTTCTGGTGGGTCGGGCTGGGCTTGCCTGCCACTCACTACATTTGTCACTTTGGTTTGAGCACTTTTGACAGTCCGTAATGTTAATTGTTCTAAGGATTGTATTGCTGGGGGAAGAAAAGGAGAGGCTTTTTTATTTTTGTACTTGTTGTGTTTACAGGGAACAAGGAATATCTGAGAGAGATGTTTTCAAACTCTCTGCGATGGGGTTTATTTGTAAATAGTCCTGTGAGGTCATCAAGTTCAACGTTGTAAATCTCATTATTCCTCACTGCGTGTGTGTTTCTGAGAGGAAAATATTAGGCCACTAAACTAAAAACCAAGGCATTCTATTGTTTTGGTGCAGACCATTCTTTCTTCCTTTGAAGTCCCACAGCGATGGGTCCTGCGGAGTGGTTTGTGCTGCGCCTATATACTTCTGCCAAATGATATTGTGGAGCTTTGACAAGTGCTAACAAGGGATTTAATGCCCTAAGAGGCATTATTGGACACATATTGTTATCACTGTATGGATAGCATGTGAAAAGCTCTCACATATGTCAAAGACCTGTTGGTAAATATGTGCATATGACTGAATTCTCTTAGAGGCGCAATTCAAGGTGGTGGTTGCTGCTGCCTCTCAGGGGAGACACGCTTCTATACCTTCTGTGTTTGATGGCATTTTTTGTGTTGAAGTTCCTAACTGATTGCTGTTGGTACAGCAGTGTATGTTGATCACAGAAAATGTTTTCAGGCTGATAGAATGATCAGTCATAAAGTATCAGGAGAAGACTGTATTTATGCTTGTGTCTCTGCTTTGCAGTTATTGCTGGTTTTCAAACACAGGGATGCTTGATGTTTAAAGAGTGAGGAGAGCGAGAAGACAGAATTCCCCAGAGGTTTCCAAGTAATGACTGACATCTACCTTTTAGGCTTTGAACTCCAAACAAAGTACGTAGTGTTCTCATTTACATGTCTCATTTACAAGTGCCTCATGACAGATAAGCTGTAAATACAGAATGCTTTTATTATATAAAATCATGCAATCCGATTCAGAAATAACAAAATAAACTAGGGTAAACAATCAAGCATAGTAATTCCAACCACATTCTAGTTTAGAGATTCAGTATAGTAATATTCACTTCTCATGCCAAGTGCAGTCCTCCTGAAGTACGTACTATTTTAGTGAAGTCTGTGGATTTACATCAGGGTCAGTTTGAGCTGGTACATCCCAAAACATTCAAAATAATTAGTGTTACTGATGAACATGCATGATAACATGTTTACACCTCCACTTTGAGAAGGGTTAGCCTGTTGTGCTGCTTTACTGAAATCTGAACTCAATGGGAGTTGCAGGTACTTACTGCAATTTGGGTCTTGAGAGATTGGAGAGTTGGCCTCACAAGGGGGGATGGCTTACACGGAGATGGCTGTGCTGATCCCCCCTCTGCCCCTCCAGCTGTCCTCCCTGCGGGAAGTTCCTCCTACTGCAGGCGTGGCTCAACTGCTTTGAGGCAGCTGCTGGAGTTTGCAAATTCTGTTGCGATTTATTTAAAGTGAATTGATGGCACTGTAATATGCAAAACTAGCTTGTGGCTGTTCAGTGTAAGTCATGAGAACCTCCAGTGTGGACAGCCTGCATCTGGAACTGCTGTTGTCATTACAAGGTAAATGGTCCCTGGGCATGAGACACAAATGCTGTTCAGAACTGCTCAGCCAACAGGATCTGAACTCAATAGCTTGTAGTTCTCGGGCTTGTGACTGGATGATGCCTCTGCGCTTCCTGATAGCTTTCCTGTTTGATCACTTCTTGGAAAGCAGTGTCGTCATTTCCTAGCAGGGTGAAAAGTTGCTACTTCTCTTCCACTAAGAATTCATTCTTGTTTTTAAATTGTGCCTAATATAAAAATATATATATATAACAGGCCCCCCCAAGATCCACTTTTTTAATAGTCCTGGCTAAGCTTTTTGTTGTATGATTTTAACAAAAGTCAGTTGCTCAGAATCTAGCTCTGTACTCAGTAGCACTCCTTTAGGCCATTCTACTATAATAAAAGGGAAAGATAGCTCGTGGCTTTTTTCGGCCAATAGATACGGAAAACGTTCAGCCAGAAGTCCTCTTGCCGCTAGTCTGCTGCCTCTTCCCTACCTGCTTGCTTGTCAAGGGAGCGTCAGGCAACCGTCTCCTGCCTGTTCCTCGATGGCTCAGTAGTCGTCTCAGCAGCAGGGCTGCAGAGGACTGGAGGTGTGGGACACCGCCTTCCTTCATGGCTAGGTGACGGTGTGGGTCACTGCCTTAATGGCTAAGCGATGGTGTGGGTCACTGGCCTAAAGGCTAGGCAATGGTATGGGTCGCTGCCTTCATGTCTAGGTGCCGGTGTGGGTCCCTGCCCTAACGGCTAAGTGACAGTGTGGGTCACTGCCTTCATGCCTAGGCAATGGTGTGGGTCACTGCCCTAACAGCTAGGCGACAGTGTGGGTCGCTGCCTTCATGTCTAGGTGACGGTGCGGGTCGCTGCCCTCGCGTCTAGGCGCCGGTGCGGGTCGCTGCCCGGT